GATGCTTAACGACTGAGCCACCCAGGCACCCCTAAGATTTTATTTATTTATTTGAGAGAGAGCACAAGTAGGGTGAGGGGCAGAGGGAGAAGCAGACTCCCCGCTGAGCAGGGAGCCAGATGAAGGGCTCAGTCGGGGACTCCAGCATCATGACCTGACTGAGCCACCCAGGCGCCCCTGTATGCTGTACTTTTCATCCCCATGATTTTTTTTTTTTTTTTTTAGATTTTATTTATTTGACAGAGAGAGACACAGCAAGAGAGGGAACACAAGCAGGGGGAGTGGGAGAGGGAGAAGCAGGCTTCCCGCCGAGCAGGGAACCCGATGCGGGGCTCGATCCCAGGACGCTGGGATCATGACCTGAGCCGAAGGCAGACTCTTAAGGGCTAAGCCACCCAGGTGCCCCCATCCCCATGATTTTTTTATAACTGGAAGCTTGTACCTTTTAATCCCCTTTATCTATTTTGCCCATCCCCCAAACCTTTCCCAGTTTGTTCTGTGTATTTGATTCCGTCTGAGATTTTGTTTGTTTCTTCAAGGTAACTAGGATGGCTCATTCTTCTGTGCCTTTCCATTCCTCCTGCCACTGCCCCTTGTCAATAAGCCAAAACTGGAGTCGTGAGACCTTGAGAACAGTGGCTGGTGATTGTGGGCAAAAATATGAAGATAGGGCGCCTGGGTGGCTCAGTTGGTTAAGCGACTGCCTTCGGCTCAGGTCATGATCCTGGAGTCCTGGGATCGAGTCCCACATCGGGCTCCCTGCTCAGCGGGGAGTCTGCTTCTCCCTCTCCTGCTCCCCCCTCTTGTGCTCTTTCTCTCTCTCACTCTCTCTCTCAAATAAATAAATAAAATCTTTAAAAAAAAAAAATGAAGATAATTTTCTACATTCCTCTATACCCCCTTTTATTACCCAATCACTTCCTGAAGCAAGTGAAACAAGCAGAGGGGGGGTGTTTGTTTTGCTTTAGCTTAAGACTTATATTGAAATATACTTACAGAAAAGTACACATGTAATAAGTGTACAGCTCAGTTTTCACAAACTGAACACAGCCATGTAATCAGCACCAAGATTAAGAAACAGAATATTACTAGCACTTCAGAAACCTGCCTTGTGCTCCCTCCCAGTTACTACCCTCTGAGGGTAACTTCTAACAACACTGACCGGTTTTACCTTAACAGGGTTTTTCAGATAGATGGAAAAAGCTTAGTGGAGGAAAAGAAGTTGGAAAGGAGAGGTCCAGACAATCTAAAAAGAAGAGGAGAAGGGAGGAGGGAAAGAAGAAGAGGGAATGAAGATGAGGGAGGGAGGGAAAACAGAGGTTTGAAGAAAGAGAATCTGCTACCTGCTTGGCTGCCCAAGAAACCCAACTGTGATACTCTTCTTAAGCTTCCCTCTTTCAGGTGCCTGGGTGGCTCGGTCGTGTAAGCGTCTGCCTTCAGCTCAGGCTCATGATCCCAGGGTCCTGGGATTGAGTCCCGCATCGGGCTCCCTGCTCAGGGGGGAGTCTGCTTCTTCCTCTGCTCTGCTCATGCTTTCTCTTGCTCTCCCTCTCTCCCAAAAAAAAAAACAAAAAAAACACCTTGCTTCTTTCTCCTGCTCCAGCCTCCCACGTCTTTCCCCAACCCACTACCCCACCTCCATTGACAGGGTTTTAAGGTTGAAAGCCCTTTGCTCCAACTCTCCCTCACAAGTCTTAGGTAGCACATTAAATTTCATTAGTGATCCATTCTTCGGGGTTATAATTGTCCCCTTTTGACTGAATACTCTTTTAAATACAAAAACTACAACAAAGAGTAAGCCACTATCAGTAGCTGACACTAGGTACGTTTTCTTCCTTTTCTGTGATTTTCTCTCTAGGGTCTTCCCTGGGCCAATATTTCACACTGTAGCTGTTAGTTAAAGTTTATCTGATTACTTAATCCAAATTTAAAATGGCAACTGATAATAATTGATTTGGTATCTTCTGGGTAATTTGTTGGCATTTTAATGCAATTTCAATGGAATTTCATGGAAGGACAAGGTGAGGTAGTTATGAGAAGAAAGGTTTTCTGTTCTCAGGGAAAAAATTATAAGAGACTTTGAAATGAGCAAAGGGGAACGCCTGGGTGTCTCAGTCGCTTAAGCGTCTGCCTTCAGCTCAGGTCATGGTCCTGGGATCGAGCCCTCCATTGGCCTCGTTGCTCAGCGGGGAGCCTGCCTCTCCCTCTGCCTGCCGTTCCCCCTGCTTGGGCTCTCTCTCTGACAAATAAATAAAATCTTAAAAAAAAAAAAGAAAGAAAAGAAATGAGCAAAGACATTGTTGGGTATTGTCTAGAGGAGTCTTCAGACTTATCTATGGCTTTCATTGTCTTTGAACTATTTTATAATTTTTAAGTTGAGAAAACTGATGGCAATGCAAATTATTTTTATTCATAGAGACAATTTGAATTTTGTCTAGCAAGATACAATTGATTTCCACCCTGTGAAAAAGATCATCCTAAACATTATATATTATACACTGTAGATATTGACTAATTTTACCTCTATTAGCAAGCAAGTTCATTTCAGCATTCTTAATTGCCTATGTATATATGTCTTCAGATTTTCTTTTGAGCCGGTTTAACACCTTATTAGTTCCATCATTTGTGTAAGTTATGATTTTCCTTTTTTTTTTTTTAAAGATTTTATCTATTTATTTGAGAGAGAGAATGAGAGAGAGAGAGCACATGAGAGGGGGGAGGGTCAGAGGGAGAAGCAGACTCCCCGCTGAGCAGGGAGCCCGATGCGGGACTCGATCCTGGGACTCCAGGATCATGACCTGAGCCGAAGGCAGTCGCTTAACCAACTGAGCCACCCAGGTGCCCCGATTTTCCCTTTTTGAAAATTATCTTTAGGGGCGCCTGGGTGGCTCAGTCGTTAAGCGTCTGCCTTCGGCTCAGGTCATGATCTCAGGGTCCTGGGATGGAGCCCCACATCAGGCTCCCTGCTCTGTGGGAACCTGCTTCTCCCTCTCCCACTCCCCCTGCTTTGTTCCCTCTCTCGCTGTGTCTCTCTCTGTCAAATAAATAAATAAAAAATAAAAATCTTAAAAAAAAAAGATGGTATCTTTTAGAAATCTAAAGACATGTGACAAGCACACATACTCACCCACAAATTCCAGCATGTGACAAATTATTTTGTACATATTGTTCTCCTGCCTCAAATAGCTCAGCTCTTCCTCCTCAACCTGAAAAGATTCTCCAAGACTGAGTTTAAATGGAGGAAGGAGAGAGTAGTGGTTAAAAGCATGTACTTGAACTTAAGCTCTGCATTGTGTCCTTAGGCAAGCCTGAGGTTTCTCTAAAATAAACTTATAGGATTTTAGTGTTGTGAAGAATAAATAACATATAAAGTAGCATAGTACCTCACAAATGCTCAGTACATGAAAGCTACTATAAATTAATATAACTCCTCTAAGTCTGTCCTAATGGTCCCAGGAAGAAGGTTACTCCTTTCTTTGTGTGTCCAAATATTAAATTTAGGGGTGCCTGGGTGGCTCAGTTAGTTTGGTGTCTGCCTTCGGCTCAGGTCGTGATCCCAGGGTCCTGGGATCAAGCCCATGTTGGGCTCCCTGCTCTGCGGGGAGCCTGCTTCTCCCTCTCCCTCGGCCTGCCGCTCCCCCTTCTTGTGCTGTCAAATAAAATCTTTAAAAAACCCCACAAATATTAAGTTTATGTTTCTATTAGAGCACTTATCAAAAAGTATCTTATTTTCCCACTTTAATGTGAGTTATTGGGAGTGAAATTGTATCCGACACAACTTTTTATTGTCAACACCCAGCAAGTGCCAGCTTTTGGCACTTGTGCCAAATTTGTAAGTACTCAATATTTGGGGGATGAATGAATTACAAGCAATAAAATATCAAGCAGTGTTCTCGAAATTTAACATGCAGCTTTTGGAGACTGTTTAAAATGCAGCTTCCTAGCCCCTCACCTATACCAGAGACGAATTTACCAAGAACCTGCATTTTAGCAAGGTAGCCCCCACCCCAAGGTGATTTTGGTGCAGTACTCTTTGCACCACGTTTTGAGAAACATTGTATAAAGGATGACTTAAGGGAACAATACTTTGCTTGAAATAAAATTAACAAGTATAAACAATCCTGGTAAATATATTTCTTATTGTCCCCTGTGCTGTAGACATTATAAAGAAGGGAAGAACAGTAAGCCAATTACAAGTACAATTATCCTTTTGTAGGTGCCACTTTTAGGCAAGAAGCTTGAGCAATGGAAACTTGAGCAAGGCAGAAGGGCCCACATAACCCCTGGCTGAATACAGACAGGCCATCAGGTGACCCACCTCAAAATATCCAAAGGCCCTCACTAACCAATGTGCTACTTACAGCCAGGCACAGTTACCTAAAAAGGGAAAATTCCCTATGTCCCTATACCTCCTCACCTTCTCCCTTTAAATACAGTCCCCACAGTCTCTGCTTTCCTGTCCTGCCCACCACTCCCTTGCAATGTATTCAGTAAACTTCTATCTCCTTTTTCTGCTTCAGGTGAGATCCTTTCACCACCTGTACCTCCAGATTCCACCCGATCGGGTTGCCTCACATTTGGGGGCCCCATCTAATTGGGAGAGACACCATACTTTTCACATGTTGTTAACTCTGTCACAGCGAGGTATGTTACCTGTGTTGCGAACTTAAGACTTTCAGCTCTTAAATAAGTTTAGGTGTCACTTGCAAGTAGATAATAGGATAGAACATACTCCTTTTCTTCATGATAATAATATTATAATTGGGTAAATTATTTTGATTGAGGGGACATTTTTCAGACCACATTAGCTGCTCTTCAGGTTAGCCTTGATGTGCCTGCCCCACCCACCCCCACAGCCTATATATGTTACGACTCTATGTATTCCTAATTTTCTACACAGGATGAAACAGGCTGGTCTCCTGGTGTAAAGGGATAGTGTTATTGGCCCTGTGTGGAAAGTTCTTATTTCCAGTTAAAATAATTGAAGTTGTAAAACCAGAGAACCAATAATTGATATTTATTGTACAGAACAGTGAAGGCCATATGCATTAAAGGAGGTGTTTTGCAGTGAATACAGATTCAAACTGAAGAAATCCTCATTGAGATACAATATAAAAATATAAACACTGACCAAGAGTTGCAAGGAAGAACTCAACTCAACTTCTGCCCCCCACTCCCCCAATCAAGCTGATACTTTCCACAGGAAAACCTGGTTTCAATTCCTGCTGAATTGTTCAAATGGAAAGGAAAACTAAGTCAGGTAGATACAACACATGGACTGGTTTTTGTACTTTCAGAGAGCCAGACTGAAACTCTACTCAGGCTCACATTTAGAATTCATTTCACACTAAAATTTGTATCTCTAGTCACATAAGTAATACCTGAAGTGAAAAACTTAATTGAGTTAATTGAGTTGGGGAATTTTGTGGGGCTAAACAGGTTTGGGGTAGGAAATGAAAGTTACAATCATTCATTTAATTACTGAATATCTGATATCAGGTCTGGGTTGTCTGTATTAGCTCTCTGACAACCTGTTTCTCTGTAATGGTCATGAAGCATGCTCCATTAAAAAATATTAGCATAATAAATGCTTGACCTTAGCACAACTTGGTGTCTGTCCTCTTTATATTCCCAAACACTAGACTTTATATGAGCATTCTTTTGACACCAAATTGCTCTTCTAAACAGGATTTATCTTAATCTTCTCTTTGCACTCACTATTGAATTGAAAAAATTGAAACTTTTTAGAGATTTGGGTAGAGAAATGGTTGTGTTGAAACAAGACTAATGACTAGGAGGGTAACTGTGAATGAAATGTAGACAAAAATACTCCTAGAACCCTTAAATATAGACAGAATCTATCAATTTATGAAGGAAGTCGAAGATAGGGAACAAGAACATCTGGAGTTTAGATAGACTGTCTGGACTCAGGATGCTGCTATTCAGCAACTGACATTTATAACTCCCTCAATTCAGAGACATATAGAGTATATCTGGAGGAATCAGGACAGTCATGTGCTAATGGGTGGAAATTCTCATGCTACCTCCCTCCCTTATAAATCATATAACTGAAGGCTGAAGGACATGGTTGAGAGATACATTTTTTTTTTCATTCAGACTTTTGTCCTAATGAATGAGGGAGTAGGATAATGCTAAGAGAGAGTATAGAATATATTTCTGATTCTAGGGCTGTGAGAACCAGGCAATCAAATTTGCAATCTTCTCATTAGGTTAGAAAAGGAAAGAAGAAAAAATCATTAGTGGGACATACAATCCCAGAGACCATCTGCTCCAAAAATCAGTTTTGTTTCCACTGCCCCTTATTCAAAGAGACAGTTATTTCAATAACTACATTACTTAGTAGATTCTGAGAGACAAAGACTGTGAAAACATGTATTTAAGGTAGAAAACAGGGGCGCCTGGCTGGCTCGGTCCGTAGAGTATGTGACTCTTAACCTTAGGGTCATGAGTAAGCCCCATGTTGGGCGTGGAGCCTACTTAAAAAAAAAAAGATAGAAAACAAATTTTTAAAAACTTAATAAATGGTTTGCTCTATATCTCACTCACATTTTCTGACTGGAGAACTTCAAATCCCACTTAGATATTCCTGCTTATCCAAAAGCACACTGGGTGGAAGTAAACCAAGAAATGAGAAAAAATGATAATTGGGTGTGTGTGGGTTCACCTAGTTTATTCACCTCTGTAGTGGAAAAATAAGGAGAAATAAAGTCTGTTTACAATGGCCAAAGTTTATGGAGAAGCCCTGAAGCTGCTCTCCCCAAATCACAAATCTGATTCAAGAGAAGGAAAAAAATGATGAAAAACATCTCATCACACAAAACTCAGTGTGGTGTCTCTGACAGTCACCAGCCAGCAGGGGAGAAGGAGAAACCCACCCACTGGCTTTAGGATTTATTGAAGGCTGCCAGCACAGCCCAGATCATCTCTGTGGCACTGTGCTTTGTCCCCTCCACTTCAGGGTCCAGTTCTACTAGATCCTTGGCTCGATTCATTGCCACATCATACTTGTCATCTGTCAGAGAGGAGAAGACATTCTCTAGCACGTCAGAGGAGTGGGCTAGCACCAGGAGTGCTAGTGTTCGCTTGTCCATACGCTGAGGGTCATTTACCCACCGCTCTAGGACACTATCTTGAAGTTTTTTGACTAGTCGTTGTTTCTCTGTTGTATTGGTCACTGGATGAGTAGTCATATCAAATAGGAGGAAATTCTGCTTCTCAGTGGTTAGAATACCCTTTTCTACTAGGTTCTTTGCAATTCGCTCTCTTACATTTCTCAGCTGGTACTGTAATTTGAAGGGGTTCCAGGTTTCACCTTTGGGGAAAAAAAACAGAAGACTTGAACAACACTATAAGCCAACTAGACCTAACAAGACATCTACAGAACATTCCACCCTAACAGCAGAATACATATCTTTCTCAAGTGCACATAGAACGTTCTCCAGGATAGACCATATGGTAGGCCATAAAATCAGCCTTAATAAACTTAAAAGGACTGAAAACATCCAAAGTATGCTATCCAACCACAATAGAATTAAATTAGAAATTAACAGACAAAAATCTGGGAAATTAAAAAATATGTGGAAATTAAGCAACCCATTCCTAAATAACCAACTGGTCAAAGAAGAAATCACAGGGAAATTTAAAAAATACTTTGAGTGGCATGAAAATGAAAACACAACAGACCAAAATTATGGGCTGCAGCTTAAAGCAGTGCCAAGAGAGAAATTTATGACCCCAAATGTTAGATTAGAAAAGGAGATGTCAAATCAATAACCTAACTTTCTACCTTAAAAAAGTAGAAAAAGAAGAGCACATTAAGCATGAAGGGAGCAAAAGAAAGGAAACAGTAAAGATTAGAGAGGGGATAGACTGAAACAATGAAAACAATAGAGGAAATCAATAAAATCAAAGTTGAAAAGATCAACAAATTGACAAACCTAGACTGACCAAGAAAAAAGAGAAGACTAAAATTAGGAATGAAAGAGGAAACATCACCACTGACCTTAAAGAAATAAAAAGGGTGGTAAGAGGACACTATAAACAACAGTATGCCAACAAATTAGATAACCTAAAAGAAATGGACAAATTCCTTGAAACACACAAATTATTTAAATTGACTCAAGAAGAAAGAGAAAGTCTGAATAGATCTGTAACAGTAAATAGATTGAATAAGAAATTTAAAACTCCCCCCAAAAAGCGTGGTTAAGATGGGTTATTGGTAATTCTACCAAATGTTTAAAGAATACTACTAATCCTTCACAAACTCTTTCAAAAAAACAGAAAAGGGAACACTTCCTTAAGTATTACTCTGATACCAAAACCAGACAAAGACATCACAAGAAAACTATAGACCAATATCCCTTATGACTATAGGTACAAAAATATTCTACAAAATACTACCAAATAAAATCCAGCAACATATAATAAACACTATGTAACAAAATTAGGTGGGACTTATTCCAGAAATGCAAGGTTGCTTTAATATCCCCAAATCCAATTATGTAACATCATATCAATAGAATGAAAAGCAAAACCAAATGATCATCTCAATCAACACAGAAAAAGTATCTGACAAAATCCAACATACTTACATGATAAAAACACTCAACAAACTAGGAATAGGTAGAACCTTCCTCAACCTGATAGAGGGCATTTACAAAAAACCCACAGCTAGCTTCATACTTAATGGTGAAAGAGTCAGTGTTGTCCTGCTAAGATTAGGTATAAGACAAAGATGCCATTTTCATCACTTCTATTTTTTTTTTTCTGGAGGTTCTAGTCAGGCAATTAGGCAAGAAAAAGAAATAAAAGCATTCAGATCAGACAGGAAGAAGTTAAGCTATTTTTATTTTCAGATGACATGATCTTGTATACAGAAAAATCTAAGGAATCCACTTAAACTATTGCAACAAATAAATTCAGCAAGGTTGCAGGATACAAGATTAATATACAAAAATCAACTGAATTTCTATTCATTAGCAACAAATAATCTGAAAATAAAATTAAGAAAACAATTACATTTATAATAGCATCAAAAAGAACAAAATACTTAGGAATATAACAAAAGTAGTGTAAGATTTGTCACTGAAAATTATAAAATATTATTGAAAGAAATAAAGATTATCTAAATAAATGGAAAGACATCCATGTTCACAGATTGGAAAACTTCATATTATTAAGATAGCAATATTCCCCCAAATTGACCTACAGATTCAATACAATTCCTATTAAAATCCTACCCTGCTTTATTGCAGAAATTGACAAGCTAATTCTATAATTCATATGGAAATGCAAAGACCGAGCATGGCCAAAAAAATCTTGAAAAAGAAGAATCAAGTTGGAGGACTCACAGTTCCCGGTTTCAAAACTACTATAAAACTACAATAATCAAAAAAACAAAACAAAAACCAAACCCTACAATAATCAGGAGAGTGTGGTATTGCATAAGAATAGACATATAGATCAAAAGAAGAGTCCGCAAATAAACCCATATATTTATGGTCAAATGATTTTTTACAATGGTACCAAGATAAATCATGGAGGACAGAACAGTATTAGGACAAATAGTGCCAGGACAACTGTATTTCTATCTTCATGCAAAAGACTGAAGTTGGAGCTCTATCCCATACCATATACAATTAACTCAAAATGGACAACAGACCTAAATGAAATAGACAAAGCTATAATCTCTTAGAAGTAAATGCAGGAATAAATTTTTTTTTTAAAGATTTTATTTATTTATTTGAGACAGAGAGAATGAGAGACAGAGAGCATGAGCGGGAGGAGGGTCAGAGGGAGAAGCAGACTCCCTGCCGAGCAGGGAGCCCGATGCGGGACTCGATCCCGGGACTCCAGGATCATGACCTGAGCCGAAGGCAGTCGCTTAACCAACTGAGCCACCCAGGCGCCCAGGAATAAATTTTTTAAATAAGATTTTTAAAATTTATTTGAAAGAGAGAGAGCACGTGCGTGCAAGAGAGAGAGCTTGAGTGGGAGGGAGAGAGGCAGAGGGAAAGGGAGAAGCAGGCTCCCTGCTGAGCAGGGAGCCCAATGCAGGGCTCAATCCCAGGACCCTGGCATCATGACCTGAGCCGAAGGCAGAGGCTTAACCAACTGAACCATCCAGGCGCCCCAGGAATAAATTTTCATGATGTTGGGTTAAGCAATCATTTCTTAGATATTACACAAGTAATAAAAGAAAAAAAGATTAATTGAAAAGTATTAAAATTGAAAACTTTATCTTTGAAGGACACCATAAAGAAGTGAAAAGACAGAATGGAAGAAAAGTTTTGCAAATCCTGCACATGATGAGATTTGTATCTAGAATATATTTGAAAAGTACAACTCATAGAAAAAAGGTAAACCTCATTAAGAAATAAGTAAAGTATTTGGGTTTTTTTTTGTTTTTTTTTTTTTTAAGATTTTATTTATTTATTTCACACACAGAGAGAGCAAGAGAGATCACAAGCAGCAGGGGGCAGTGGGAGAGGGAGAAGCAGGCTCCCGGATGAGCAGGGAGCCCAACATGGGGCTCGATCCCAGGACCCTGGGATCATGACCTGAGCCGAAGGCAGACGCTTAACTGACTGAGCCATCCAGGCACCTCAAAAAATAGGTAAAGTATTTGAATAGACAATTCTCCAAAGAAGATATACAGATGGCCATAAGTACATAAAGATGGCCAACAACATTAGAATTAGGAAAATCCAAATAAAAGTCACAATGATATAACACTACATATTCATTAGGATAGATAAAGCAGAGTATAACAAGTACTGATGAGAATGTAGAAGAATGAAAACTCATACATTGGGGGCACCTGGGTGGCTCAGTCGTTAAGCGTCTGCCTTCGGCTCAGGTCATGATCCCAGGGTCCTGGGATCGAGCCCCGCATCGGGCTCCCTGCTCTGCAGGAAGCCTGCTTCTTCCTCTCCCACTCCCCCTGCTTGTGTTCCTGCTCTTGCTGTCTCTCTCTCTGTCAAATAAATAAATCTTTAAAAAAAAAAAAAAAGAAAACTCATACATTGGTGTGGAAATATAAAATGGTGTAGCCACTTTGAAAAACTGGCCCCATCCCTGTCCTTAAGATGTTTAAAGTCTAGTATGGGGTAATAGTGGGGAGACAAAAATAATATTTGAAGTGGGCCCTAATGACAAACTCAAACTGGACATAGATGATAAGGTTCTTTAAATTATTAATCACTGAGGTATGACATCAGGGATGATGACAGAGTAGGAAGTGCCAGACATTCCTCTCTTCACCTAGACAACAATTATACTAGAACCTAGAATCTTTTTTTTTTTTTTAAACTAGGCTCCAGGGGCGCCTGGGTGGCTCAGTCGGTTAAGCATCCACCTTTGACTCAGGTCATGATCCCAGAGTCCTGGGATCAAGTCCCACATTGGGCTCCCTGCTCGTCAGGGAATCTCCTTCTCCCTCTGCCCCTCCCCTTGGTTGTGAGCATTCTCTTTCTCTCAAATAAATAAATAAATAAAATCTTTAGTAGTTTTTCTTCCCCTTTCCTTAAAACAAACAAACAGGGCGCCTCCTCCACTCCCCCTGCTTGTGTTCCCTCTCTCGCTGTGTCTGTCTCTGTCAAATAAATAAATAAAATCTTAAAAAACCAACCAACCAACCAACCAACCAACCAACCCAGGAAGACAGAAGTGAGTCTTTACATACAAGGGATCCTCAGTAATATTATCAGCAGATTTCTCATCAAAAAATTTGGAAGCCTGAAGGCAGTGGGCTGATATATTCAAAGATATAAAAGGAAAAAAAACCTGTCAAATGAGAATTCTATACCCAGAAAAACTGTCCTTCAAAAATGACTCATACTTCCCAACTTCAAAACTTACTATAAACTATAGTAAGTAAAACAGTATGGTATTGGCATAGGACAAACATAGATCAAAGCAACAGAGCAGAGAGCCCAGAAATAAATCCTCGCATCTATGATCAACTGATTTTCAACAAGGCTAATAAGACTATTTAATGGGGAAAGGGCAGTCTTTTCATGGATATGAGACCAAAAGTGCAGGCAACAAAAGAAAAAATAGATAAACTGGATTTCATCAAAATTAAGAACTTTTGTGCATCCAGGATTACCATCAAAAAAGTTGAAAAGACAACCTACAGAATGGGAGAAAATATTGGTAAATAATGATGGATCTGATAAGGGATTAATATCCAGAAAATATAAAGAACTTCTAAAACTCAACAGCAATAACAATAGGGAGCCAACAGAGTGGCTCAGTTGGTTAAGCATCTACCTTTGGCCCAGGTCATAATCTCAGGGTCCTGGGATCGAGTCCTGTGTTGGGCTCCCTGCTCAGTGGGGAGTCTGCTTCTCCCTCTCCCTCTGTGTATTTGCTAGCTCTCTCTCAAATAAATAAATAACTAAATATTCAGATAAATAAAATCTTTAAACAAAAACAGTAACAACAGAACCTAATTAAAAAAATGGGCAAAGAACTTGAATAAACATTTTTCCAAAGAAGATATACAAATGGCCAATAACCTATGAAAAGATGCTCATCACTGGTCATTAGGGAAACACAAATGAAAACAACAATGAGATATCCCTTCATGCCTACTAGGGGAGCTAATAATTAAAAACAAAATAAAACAAAAAATAGAACAAGTGTTGATGACAATGTAGAGAAACTAGAAAGCTCATGCATGGCTGGTGAGAGTGTAAAAGGGTGTAGCCTGTACAGGAAGTAGTTTTATGGTTTCTCAAAACATAGCACTATCATATGACCCAGCAATTCTACTCCTAGCTATATATCCAAAAGAATGGAAAGCAGGGACTTGAACAGATATCTGTATACTAATGTTCATAGCAGCATTATCCACAATAGCTAAAAGGTGGAAACAACCCAAGTGTCCATCAACAAATGAATAAAAAAAAAAAGGGTAGATCTGAACAATGGAATATAATTTGGCCATAAAAAGGAATGAGATTTTGATATATGCTACAACATGAGCAGACCTTGGAAACATTATGCTTAATGCAATAGGACAGATATAGAAGGACAAATATTGTATGATTCCACTTATATGAGTTACCTAGTACAGGCAAATTCATAAAGACAAGTAGAAAAGAGGTTGCCAGAGAATAGGAGGGTGGGAAGAAAGAATATTTGGGATGATGAGAAAGCTTTGGGTATAGAGAGAGGTGATGGTTACATAACACCTTGAATGTATTTAATGTCACCGAATTATACATTTATGAATGGTTAAGACAATAAAGATTATGTTATGCATATTTTACAATTAAAAAAGTTAACTATATAAATTAAAACACATCCACAAAAAACACATCTGTGAATGTTCATAGCAGCATTATTCATAATAGCCTAAAAGTGGAAATAATCCAAATGTCTACCAACTGATGAATCAATAAATAAATGTGGTACATCTATACAATGAAATATTATTTAGTGATAAAAAGGAGTCAAGGTAAAAATGGGGAAGTTCTAATAAGATTAGTGGATTTTATCAATGTCAATATCCTGTGGGTCATATTATACTAAAGTTTTGTAAAAGGTTATCACTGGGGGATCCGGGCAATGTATAAGGGATCTCTCGGTATTATTTCTTACAACTGCATGTAAATCTACAAATATCTCAGTAAAAATTTCCATTAAAAAAATTGTCCCAGAAGGTAACACTGGCTGTGATCTCAAAGTGTCCTGCTTTCTCCTAAAATTTTATACCACAGATCTACTTACTTATATTAAAGTTTTTGAACTTGCCCTTAAAAAAAAAAAAAAGAGGATGAAGTACTGGAACATGCTAAAACACGGATGAACCTTAAAAATATTATATCTTGGGGCGCCTGGGTGGCTCAGTCGTTAAGCGTCTGTCTTCGGCTCAGGTCATGATCCCAGGGTCCTGGGATCGAGTCCTGCATCGGGCTCCCTGCTCCGCGGGAAGCCTGCTTCTCCCTCTCCCACTCCCCCTGCTTGTTCCTGCTCTCACTATGTCTCTCTCTGTCAAATAAATAAATAAAATCTTAAAAAAAAAAAAATTATATCTTAAGCCAGTTACACAAAATGTACATTTCATTTATATGAAATATCTAGAATAAGCAAATCTATAGAGACAGAATGTAGATTAGTGGTTGCCCAGAGCTGGGCAGGAGGCTTGGAAAAAACTGCTAATTAGTATGGGGTTTATTTTTGGGGTGATGAAAATGTTCTAAATTTAGATTGTGATGATGGTTGCACAATTGTGTGAATATACTAAAATCCATTTAATTGTGTACTTTCCATGGGTCAACTGTATGGTGTATGAATTATATATCAATAAAGATGTTAAACATTTTTCTTGTGAAGAATATTTTTAGAGAACTTATAGGGTGGGGTGGCAGAAGTAAGATGAAACCTTGGAAAACTTTATGTATTGATTAACCATGCCTTTTCTGTCCCTCTTTAATACATTTAAACAGTGAACCATGTATTTCTTACCCAGCAGCTTTAATTCCTGTACTCCTATTCTTGAACTAGTAGCATAAAGATTACAAAGTGTGGGATTTTTTAACCATTTGAGCCATTTTACCTGTGAGTAGCTCTATCCATGTCTGGACGGTTTCTGTGGGTTCAGTTGCTTTGATGTGTTTGAGAGTTTCATCCAGTAAAACATCCCCTGTTGGGCTATCTGACTTTAGCAGTACCTTTAAAAGAAGAATCAAGGGACCCTAGTTCATTTACTTAATTCAAATTAAAATCTTTCAGTATACCATATATGTATTATTGGTTAAGTGTTGTAGGAAATGCAAAGCAACTTAGTATACTGTTCCTTTCCTCAAGAAATTTAAAATTTAGTATGGGATAATAGTAAGGAGACAAAAATAACATTTGAAGTGAACCCTAGCGACAAACTGGATATAAATGATCATGGAAAAAATACGCAATAATAAGTCTTTGGGTCTGCAAAACCAACTTTTAAAAAAATATATTTGAGAGAGAGTGAGAGAGAAAATGCGCAGGGGGGAGAGGCAGAGGGAGAGAGAAAAGTAGACTCCCTGCTGAGCAGAGAGCCTGATGCGGGACTTGATCCCAGGACCCTGGGATCATGACCTGAGCCAAAGGCAGACGCTTAACCAACTGAACCACCCAGGCGCCCTGGAAAACCAATTTGTGAAATAATAAATATAGGAAAGTCAGGAAAGGAACCAGTTTTGGAGAAAAGTTGATAGGTTTGATTTTAACTGATAAGGGATAGCCAAGTTGAAATGCCTACTCAATAGTTAAATAGGGTAGAAAAAGAAGGCCTAGGATTTGATAGGTTAATATCATGGAGGTGACAGATGAAGCTGTAAGGTAAATGATAGCTCCAAAAGGACAGGAAGTTATGCAAAAGGATACAAACTGAGACTTAGATGTTAAGGAATGAAGTACAAGAAATAGGGTACAGCCAGAGAAGCAAGAAAATGTAATATAACAAAGGCCAAGAATGGAGAAAATTTCAAGTAGGAGGAGGTGGTCAAAAATGTCAAATGCCACATATAGCTTAAAAGAGAAAAATAAAGACAAAAGAGAGGGTGGTGATGGAGCACCTGGCTGGTTCAGTTGATAGAGCATGTGTCTTTTTTTTTTTTTTAAGATTTTATTTATTTACTTGAGAGGGAGGGATAGCAAGAGAGCACGAGTGGGGTGGAGGGTTACAGAGAGAGGGAGAAGTAGGCTCCTGGCTGAGCAGAGAACCCGAAGCGGGGCTCGATCCCAGGACCCCAGGATCATGACCCGAGCGGAAGGCAGACGCTTAACAACTGAGCCACCCAGGCGCAGCCCCCCTTTTTTTTTTAAGATTTTATTTATTTGACAAAGAGAGACACAGGGAGAGAGGGAACACTAGTAGGGGGAGTGGGAGAGGGAGAAGGAGGCTTCCCGCTGAGCAGGGAGCTGGATGTGGGACTCAGTCCCAGGACCCTGAGATCATGACCTGAGTGGAAGGAAGACGCTTAAAGACTGAGCCATGAAGGCACCCCTCACTTTTAAAAATATTTTATTTATTTATTTGACACAGAGAGAGAGAGAGAGTGAGCGAGCATAAGGAGGGGGAGCGGCAGACGGAAAGGCAGAAGCAGGCGCCGGATGAGCAGGAAGCCTGACGCAGAGCTCCATCCCAGGTCCCCAGGATCATGACCTGAGCCAAAGGCAGACGCTTAACTGACTGAGTCACCCAGGTGCTCAGAGCATGTGACTCTTGATCTCAGGATTGAGTTCAAGCCCTACACTGGGCACAGAGCCTGCTGGTGATACCTAAAGAATGTAGTTTTGGTAGAGTTCTGAGTATGACAGTGAAGTTATGAGTGGAAAAAATAAGTAGTAAAAAATGGAGACAGAAGTATAGCTCATATGGTGGACCCGACTTGCCGTAAATGGAAGGAGAAAAATCTAATGGTTATTTGAGCATGACTAGAGTTAAACAAAGACTCACCTGACCCATGTGTTTGCCCCCCTACTATAGAACACTCTATTTCATAATGTTATATAGAGGGAGTAATAACAGCATCCTAAAGTGATTTTTCTGCATAAAAAAGACAAAACCATAACCTTCTTAAAACTCTTTAGATGATGGATATTTGAATTTCTCCCTCTGCTATAGGTTAATTAAAACTGTTAGACAATGGAACAACTGAGTCAGTGATATTTATCTTGTCTCACTACTCAGATCTTCCCATTCCCCCCAGGGGCACCTGGATGGCTCAGTTGGTTAAGCATCTGACTCTTGATATTAGCTCAGGTCTTGATCTCAGGGTCATGAGTTAAAGCCCCTTGAAAAAAAAAAAACAAAAAAAAAACTTCCCATTCCTCCAGAATGGAGCATTGGTATCTGCCCTTTCATAAGTTAGGAGGATGTCCACAGAGGTGCTGTACCTTTCTGTCCAGTAGTCGCTTCTTACGCATCGTGGGGGGTTCCAGATAGATTCGACCCCGCATGGCCAGCTCTATCAGGATACCCCCTCGCAGGCCAGATGATATGCAGTCATTCCAGAAAGATGTGTAACCCTAGAGAAGGCAAAAGAGGAGAGAAAGAATTTTTTTTTTTTTAAGCAGAACATTATTATATTTGAATACACAACTTCTATACAACCAAAAAGTAAAACATCACAGTAAAATGGTGGTGAGAACACATGGTATTTCTTTTGCAATGCATGGTTAACATCCTTAGTCATAAATGACCTTTTAGAAATCAGTAACAAAAACACTAATATTCTGAGAGAAATGAAAAAGAAAACACAGAGGAAAATGAAATAACAAGTGACTAGTAAGGTTTAAGGACATATGAAGATGACAAGCCATTTTTTTTGTAATACCACATTTTCAAAGATTAAAACATTGAAATGTAATGTTTGTACTGTTTAAGAAAACAGAAGTCTCATAAACAAACACTGGGAGACAAGACTGACAAGGACAATCTATACCATTTGGGGAAAATTTCTACTTTTGACTCAGAATATAAATTTTGGATATACTTAATTCCAATAAGGTGGAAATACTAGGACTATTTTCAACAAATTAGAGAAATTAAAAATGATTTCTATATAAAGCATGTAACTGCCTAGAAAATTTGTAGCTAATATATGGGTCCAAAAGACTACTAGCATAACAATTTGTTCATCAATATACCCCAAAAGGATACACACAAAACTCCATTAACAGTAGATAATGTCGGGAAGTAGAATTAGGAGGGGGAAAAAAGCATTTAAGAAGTAAAAATAATATCCTTCACAAATTTCTGTGCTTTTTGAAATCTGGAAAAAGGTAATTTTTTTATCAATCAATTTTAAATTTACCCTGTAATAAGTGAAAATTATAAATATGTTCACTATATTTATACTTATGGAAACACTGAAATGAAGCCTTGCCATCACACCATCCTGAGCTTCTCTGTTGAAATAACATCTCCACCATTCAAGCTCCTGAGATTTAGTCCAATGTCAATAACGAAAACAGTCAACATGCCTGGTTACAATTCCCTCCAAGGACACTCTTTAGGTAACTTTCAAACTTGAGCTTTCTCGGTCCAGTTTTTCTGATCTGTGAGGAGTATCCACTCCAACACATGAGACAGAAGTCTCCATACAGTATGAAGACCGTCTTTTGGATTTAAAGATGGTGGCAGAAGCAACAGCATAAGTTTTCTGTTTAGTCATCACAATAATTTCACCAAGGGGTATCCTGGGACCAGAGACTGGAGGTGAAGAACACTTGAATGAATAATACTGCCAATGAGAGGTATTTGAAATTTTAAAGATATTTCAAAAGAACATTTAAACAACAAAAGGGAATTTTAAAAATACAACCAATCTGTGCCTCTCTGTATCCTTGCCTATTGACATCTTGGGAGTATTGGGCTGTTATATCCAATTTTGTATTCCCAGTGGCCATTATGAATAGTTTGTGAGTGATCACAAAGAATGTGTGATTTAGAGACTCTAGTACAGCAGAGAATTATACATACTGAAACAGTATTGTGGGATCCAAGAAAAGAATATGGGAGAAGATGGGATTTGAGATGTACATGAAGAAGAGATTTATAGATAACCTGAGGACAGCTAACATCAGGAACATTCCTCATGCTATGGACTTCCTTAATCTAAGTCTTAACTGGGAACCACAGGAGATGATAGTTCCATGAAAACACACTTCTGCCCTCTTTGTTTGGAATTGCAAGAATTGGTATCACCAGACCTCTCGTTGAGAAAGAATGTTCTGAAAGTGTTATGGACTTGCAGCAAGCACCTTAAGGATGGTTCACTGCGTTGTGATTCATTTCATGTCATATTACATGAACTCAAAGCATAGAATAAGAGAACAGAATCTCTCTTTAATCCCCTTAATCTAAACCCCCTAAATAAGGTTTTCTGTCTGACTTCCAGCTCTTTGTGAATTCTCATGGTTCAGTTGTTTGTTGATAACTGGCATGTCAAATTTTAATTTTTGAAAAGAATTTTGGCTTCTTGGAAATGTTTCCATGACACCCTAAATTTCAGAGTAGAATATAAATAAGTAGAAAAATGTATAAACCATTTGAGCCTTTTACTCCTCCAAGACATGTTTTCTTTGCAAGGTATTTTGATGGGTGGTGTGGTAGAAACCCAGCTCTGCCACTGACTAGTTAAGTGCCTTGGGTATGTTATTTAACCATTTTCAAGTGCAATATCCTCATCTGTAAAACAAGAACACTAATATCTATCCTTCTAAGTTGGCTGTGAGGAATAAGTTAGATGTTACATGTAAGAAGGCGTTTAGTAGAGTGCCTGGCATATAGTAGGCACTTAAATACTAGTTTCCCTTCCCTAGGAGCTATACAAAGATGTAAAAGAAATACCCACTGTCTTAAGGAACAAACAAATCTAACTGGAAATACCACACAAATGTGAGGAAAATTCTGTGATAATATAAATTTTAAATAAAAGCTCAACTGAAAAAGTAGCAGAAGACAGGCAAAAATGACTACTCTAAGTTTGGTTTAGATGATAGCTTTTCAAATTACAAATCCTTTTTGGGATAGTCAAACTTTTATGGGACTTGAACTGGAGTTTGAAGAATAGGTTGAATTTTTCAGAAAAGGGAGGGTTTTCCAGATGAAGATGAAGGAAATCACCCAAATTCTACTATTTTTCAAAAGGGCATTCTAAGCAAAAGTATAAAGGAAAGAGACATCAAATATGTTTAGAGATCTAACTCAAGGATGTGAGATCACGTTGGTTGGGGCCAGGCTGTGGAAAGTCTTGATGTTCTGAACTTTTACTGAAAGGCAATATTGAATCCTGAAGGTTCTGGGCAAGGAGTTACGATTAACACAAGATGACCCGTCAGAGTTATTAGAACTGTTCAACACTCTAGCCATCTTTGGGTGTAGCACTCACTCTCATGGAAGAGAAGCTGGATGAGACGTTGGCAGGGAAGTTCTAGCATGGCTTTAAAGTATCACCTTTAATGGTTACTATATAAATCACTATTTAAAAAAACTTTTTAAATTTACTTTTTACTTTTTAATTTTTTAAAAACAAGCTCCATGCTGAATCGTGGAGCTTGAACTCATGACCCCAAGATCAAGGGCCTCATGCTCCACCAACTGTGCCAGTCACGTGCTCCATAAATCACTATGAATAGTAGTAATGTCTAATATTTATTGGATACTTACTATGTAGACTTGTGTTCAGCTTTTTTGCATGCACTATCTGATCACATCTTCACAACAACCATATAAGGGAGGTACTACTATCCATATTTTAAAGATAAGGAAACTAATGGAGGTTCTGTGACATGACAGGGGTTAGTTACAAAGCTAAAGAGTGGCAAAGAATTAAAAAAAAATTTTTTTAATTCCACTTTTCCTCTTTATTGGTTTAGAAGTTATGCAATCTCTTTACTTTAGGAAAGTTATCCTCGAAATTTTAACATGCATGACAGTTAATTTAAAATTAATACAAAATTTAATTATTTTGAAATGAATCAATATTTAACCACTCTTCTAGTTGACCAATATTTTATCTTTTTTTACCTCACATGTTAGACATTATTATTAGCATTAGCACTATTATTTTATACAGGTAGCACTTACTTAGATTTACTCAGATGCTTACCAATGTCTTTGCTCACCATTCCTACCTGCATCTTAGACCTCCTTTCTGATACCATTTTCCTTTTTCCTAAAGCAGAATTTCCTTAAGTGAAAGTCTTTTGGAGGCCAACTATTTTATCTGAAAGGTCTTTATTTCAACATTGTTTTTTAAACATAGTTTCTCTGGACATAACATTCTAGGTTGACAGTTTTCTCATATCACACTGAAGATATTAAGCCCTCCTCTTTCAGCTTCCATTGTTGCAGTGAGAAATGTATCATTCTTATTGATTGTGGTCACTTGTAGGTGATTTCTCTTTTTTTCTTAGGTCCCTTAAGATCTTCTCTCTTGGTGCTTTGTAGTTTGACTATGGCATGACTGTGTGTGAATTTACTTATTCTGTTTGGCATATGCTTCCTGTATCTGCAGGTCCATTTCTTATTTTTCAAAAATTCTCACTTCTTATCTCTAAGAATTTTAGCTCTCCTCCATTTTCTTTATTTTTTTCTTCTGGGACGTCAATCTTCCTTACTCTAACCCCCATGTCTTTTAATCTCTTTTATATTTTCCATTTCCTTTATCTCTAAATTGCTTTCTAAAGGCTTATTTCATATCTGGTTTCCAATTTACTCTCTCCATCTGTAACTAATATGCTAAACTAACCATGAGATTTTGATTTCAACTTTGATTTTTTCATTTCTAAAAGTTTTAAGCAGTTATTTTTCATATTTGCTTCATTATTTGTGATCATTTCTTTTTGTTGTTCATTTTGTGATTCTTTTATTTAAAATGTCATAGATATTTTATGTTGTCTGATCATTTTAATATATGAGGTCCACGAATCTTTGTGATTTCTGCTGAGTCTTTCTCATGGGTATTTGATTCTTTGTATGTTTAATATTTGATTAAGAAGTGGCCCAGTTTTTTTGTGAATCTGTGAGATCCTGAAGGCCTAAATTAAAGATGTCTTCTTTCAGAGAGGAAGATCTGTATTTGCTTCTGCTGAGAGTCAGGCATGAAGGGACTGGGGGACTGCCACACAACTGGGATCACATTTATTTTTTTTAAAGATTTTAAGTAATCTCTACACCCAACGAGGGGCTCAAACTCACAAACCCAAGATCAAGAGTTGCATGTTCCACTGACTGAGCCAGCTAGGCGTCCTCAACTGGGACCACATTTAAACCTAGCTTCCCCATTTCTTCTCAACTCTGAGGTTTATTCCTGAGTGTCCATTTCCTGGATCTCAGGACTGATTTGATAATTTGTCCCAGAGCAATCTGGTTTTCATGTTTGTTTATTGCTCACCTCTAGGATTTTAAGTTTGGTGTTTGTTGGGGACCCTGAAGATTTTTTTTTTTTTTAAAGATTTTCTTTATTTATTTGAGAGAGAGAATGAGAGAGAGAGAGCACAAGACGGGGGAGCGGGAGAGG